TGATGGGGAGAGACAGCCCTACATGCTCAAATGTATTTTGGTAACTAAAAAGTTTATAGTTATATATCTAGTATTAACAGATTTTCTTATATTATTGTGCATTTGTGCATGCCTGTGTGTGTATGTTTTGGGGATGTATATGATGGGTGGACAATAGTCATGTGGCTCTTTTGGTAGATAGTAATTGCAAATGTGGCTCTTTGCAGAGTGAGTACTACTGATTTAGATGGCATGCTAGGGAGTCAATAGAACCCAAATGGGGTCATATTACTTAGTGTGTGAAGGGAGGGCAAGTAACTCACAGAAGTGCAGATAAGAAAAAGTGAGCCATTTTAACAGCTATCTCTACACTAATTTAGCAGTAAAAATGGAACAATAGAAGTTCCAATGAACTCAAATGGAAAACTAAGTTGCTGATAGATTCTAGTTTAGCAATGACACAATAGAGACTCATTTGAAATCTTTCTGTTGAAGTATGGTGACTTTGAAATTAACAGCCAAGTGTTATAGGGCATCTTTTAAGGTACAAGAATGTTGTTTTGCAGCACATTTTCCCCTTAGGAAAAAAACAAGTGCAGCTTTAGAACATATGAGTCAGCAACGTAAACAAGAAGCAAAATCCCTGTGTAGAGAATGATCTACTAAGTAAGCACTAGGTAGCAAAACACATACAAGAGTCTCAATCCTAATCAGCACTAAGCAGGATCATGCATTGGTGGCTACGCAAGAGTCAAACCAATGTGGACTGATAGTAGAAGACAACTGCATTCTTGTTTTGATCAAGTACCAAAGGCTAATATAATTAAGAAGATAAGTATATGACCTCACTGGTCACAAGACTGGTGGTGTAATGTGGTCTACTGGGAAAGAAACATGTGCAGCAGAAAATTAGGAGAACTGATGCAAGATGTAAGGTTGACCCCGGCTGTTAAAATGTTTTATTTGGGGAAAGGAGAGAAATTGTTACCAATTAAACTTTGTTTTCATTCTTGTATTACAGAAAATGAGACTAGAAGTCTTATATTTTATGCTGGCAGAAAGGGAACTGGAAAAACAAACAAGAAGTGACAATTCCTATTACTGACAACTGGGTGAAATTTTTCTCATTTCTGTATTCCAAGCTTTTCTCATGTGGGTTATGGAACAGCCAGATGGGAACCTTCTGATGACTACTAGCTACTTTTCTGGTGTTTCTGTACACAGTCAAGGTATTCCTGAACATCCTCTGGAGAGCCAAGGATAAAAGGGACTCTTTGGTGAATCGACTCTGGCTTCACATCCAGCACTGCTTCTGTTCCTGTGGTAGCCATTCCTCCTGCCTGCTCAATGATGAATGCCATGGGATTGCACTCATAGAGAAGCCGGAGCTACAAAAAATGAGGTTCTGAATTAGGTCAGAAAGCAATAAAAGGACTTTTCAGTAGCTTGCACAGTTTCATGAATTACATTCAGGGTATCTGTCAGCACTATACTTCTTATTTTAACTATTTATTTAGATACATTCAAATAAACAAATAGGCAACTCTTATTCTGTTTTCCAGAAGAGGTAGCTTAAGGTTATCCTAAAGAAATTTCTTGAAATTCAAAGCAATTGGATGATTTGTCACTGATGCTTTATTGTCTCCTCTGACTGACAGGTTTTTAAAAACTAAATCTTGCATGAATAAAAGATTGTACGCTTTTCACAGGGTGTTAATTTACCTATTTCCTGAGTTTTTCAGTCTTTGCTGATCTTGATATGTGTCAGTACTGATGCAGATGCTTAACCAATAGCCTCCCATCTCAGAACTTTTGCTGGATGCACCGAAAACTTGCAAAAAATATTTGGAGTTTGCTCCCCCACCCACAAAATTGTGTGTTTGTGTGTGTGTGTTTCCTAGGCAGTAAAAGCATGTTCACCCCCACTACACTTAAACAGTTACATCTGTCTCTACCCTTCACAGGTGTTATGTGAAAACCAGCACTTAACTGTAAAAACACAACATTACTGCAGAAGAGAAGGATCCCACAACAGCAGAAAGAGCTCCCATAAAAAACAATTCTGAACTAAAACACTCAGCTTTAGTGTCTCTTTGATACTATCAAAGTAAGCTCTGTTATCACAATATGTGCAAATGCAATTCAGCACCCAGAAGCTTAGGATGAAAAAAGTTACCTTTCCTTTTGGACTCTTCTGATTAGCAGGGTACATAAAGATCCCACCATATACAAGAGTACGGTGAACATCAGCCACCATGGAGCCTACATATCTGGAAGCATAAGGAGAACTACCATCCTGTAAAACAGACAGCATTAATTCACGTACATTTTTGGAACTCGATTGAGAAAGAGATCATCTGTATCCCTAACAATGCAATCAAATGAAAAGTCAACTCCCTGCATGAGGCAAACATTTGTGGACTGAGGGAAATAAGGAAACATTCAATTAGTTAACAAGATAATGGTTGCCAGATCATTGCTTAGAGATAGTGAGAGAGGATGCAGCTGCTGCTCCCCTCTACTCACTCACCATATCATGTGACAACCAGTGCCTGCTGGACGATGGAGGGCAGAGGCAGAAGGCAATGTGGTTCTTTCAGCACCTTAGGGCATTTGGAGACCCGGCTCTGTCTCCAGGTGAGGGTTTGACATCTTAAGTAGGTCAAATACATTAACAATGAGAGAGACCGATAAGACATTGATTTGTAGATCAAATATTAGGCTAATTTTTGTCTTTCTTAGTGTCTTCCTTATGATTCTTCTACTTGCTTCTGTAGAAGCAAATCACAATTAGACCCCTGCTTCAGTGTCTCATTATTGCAAGCTAGGAAAACTCCCAATTTGTTTTAAATGAAAGGGTACTTTGAGCTTTACATCTTTGCTTTTTGTCTTGTTCAGGCTACAGTCTTATGCATGCTGACCTATGAATAATTCTCATAGAACTCAGTGGGATTCACAACAGAGTAATTAGACATAGGATCAGAATGTATAGCAAACATTTTAAGGTGGGTAGGTGGTAGATATTATGTTAAGAGTCTCTGTTACAAATATAAGCCATTCTGTTGGCTCTGCTAAATATAATTCTGTATCCTTTTAATAGCCTGTAATTTAACAGGGTCAGCAAACTGTGGATACTTTCAAGTTCATAGCTAACTGAGGTTCACTTGGCAATAAAGCACACTGTGGTAGCTGGGGTTTACTTCTGGTAAACATGCATAGGATCGGATTGGGATTAAGCCTGTAGTAAACTTTAGAGCTCTCTGGGATTATGTGGCATCATTAGATTCAGAGTTGTCCCTTCAGCAGCATCCAATGAAGTACAAAAGAGTCAGGAAAACTCTGAATCTTATGATACCATATCACACATCTTGTTTTGCATTGAATAAATTGGTTGGAGGCTGTCCCATGATCTTCTTAACACATAATTTGGGCAGCAGTTTAAGAACATTGTTGAAAAGTTGCAAGGAATTCAGAGCCAAGCTGCACAATATTCAGGAAATCCATGAACGTTTCCCTTCACATTTTTTTACAGACTAAAAAGCATTCACAGGAGCCTTGAACCGGAATGGGATCGTGGTGTGGTGGGAGGAATGGTAATCCTTTCAACCCCTTCAAGCTGCCATTGGTCATGATAAGGAAGGAGGGAGCGTTGCCTATATTGTACCTGCCTTCGTCTCCTCACTGCAGTAACAGACATTCCCATCCAAAGATTGTTAACAGTAAAGCCCACCTTCCTCTTCTTCCAAAGCTATAGGTCTAGCCCACTTTCGGCCCCCATGCTTCTAGTTTGAAAGAAGGCTTTGTGAGATCCTATTACAAATATCCTGAGTAATGTGAAGTTTGGCCCTTAGAGGAAAGCTAAAAGATGGTTTCACTTCTCTTTGGCAGCCCAGTACTAGCCTTGTGCAGTCTTCCACTGAAATCTTCATTTCTCTTTTTGTCATATGCCAAGCCACAGATGCTGGTTAGACTCTGACAAGTTTCAGATGACAAATGGAATAGATATAACCTGGCAGCTTGGAATGGTTTTATGTTCATTAGGAATAGTGGGGGAATAACTTATTATTAGACTCTCAGGGTCAAACTAGACATGATAGTGTCCTCGTGGCCACTACAAGGATGCTGCCACCATTTTAAAGTGACTTTAAAATGCTGTGAGGCCACTATGAGGATGCCACCATTTTAAAGTGACTTTAAAATGCTGTGCTCTTGTCCCATCCCCCCCAGTGCCTTTTCAAGTGCCGAATCAGCTGGGGGGGGGGAGTAGCACTCTTGATAAGGCATGGGGTACAGCATAGTTTCAGAGGGTAGCCATGTTGGTCTGCAATTAAACAGCTAGATTCAAGTCCACTAGTAGGGTTGCCAGGTCTGGGTTGGAAAATCCCTGGAGACAATGCTTCCGGTTTATGGTGACACGCAGGCAGACGCATCTCCCAGACACTCTGGGGATGTGAACTGCACACCAGCATGTGGGAGGGGGTGCAACGGGTCGCGCCCCCCCCCAGAGCCTTGGTAAAAGGCTCCCAGCCAGGGGACTTTTGAAAGGTGACCTCTTCGATGGCGCGATGCCGGAGAATTGAGGCGCTCCTCCGCCCCAAAGGTCCTGCTGCTGAGTGACCATATGGTACCAGTGCTGCTGACCGGGACAAGCATTGGCGATTGGGCGAAAAAAATGATGCCGAGTGAGGCCGGCTGGCCAACAACGAACTGTGAGTCGGGTTGAAGCGAGCACGAAGATTTATAAAGAAAGCTGCCCCCCTTAAAGAGCGATGGCAAAGCGAGCTGGGGAGGGGTTCCTCCCAAATACATAGATGAAACACGGACGGAAAGAGGGGGGAGTGGAAAAATAAGTGATTAAATCTGTTTTAAGAGACTTACCAGAGCGCAGATAAGTGTTTGGGCAAATATCAGAGACTTTAGCAACTTTTTAAAAAGTAAACAAATCCAAAAAGATGGCGGGGAAGAAACTGGAGAAACAAAAGCTGTTGAAACCAAAACTAGTGGGCAGTCCTCGAACAGAGGAGACTGCTGAGCTCTTAAAATTGCTGGCTGATTCCTTGCATCCTCTGCTGGATGAAATGACTAGTATTAAGCAACAACTCTCAATAATTGGGGAGAGTTTGGCATCACAGCAGTTACAATTGACTCAATCTTTAAAAGCAACGGAGCAAATGGGAGAGAAGGTGAAGGAAATGGACGCCAATACTAAAAAAATTAAGAAAAAGGTGCAAAAGCTGAAAATGAAGCAAGCTATGGAAGAGTCAAAACTTTTACAGCCACAAATGGAGAAAGCAAATTTGGTCCTATGGTTTCAAGGGGTCCCGTAAATCAGAGGAGAGAATCTGAAGCAACGGCTGAGTGAAGCAATAGCCCCAATGACAGATTTGACAGCGGAATACTTCTACAGCAAGATGAATGTGGTCTACAGGTCCTATTCATCATACATCAAGAAAAATAATGTGCCTGGAGAAATAGTAGTCAGATTCTCGAAGAGACATGTAAGAGATGCTATCTTGAAAGCAATGACGGGAACACCCTTGAAAATTGGGGACAACAACATCAGGATTCTAAAAGACATTCCATTTGATATAAGGCAGAAGAGAAAGAACTATAAAGAACTAATCCTTTTCTTACAAACAAATGGCATCAGTTATAGATGGCAAATTCCAGAAGGCATCACTTTCAAACTCCACGATAAAAAAGAAAAGATTGACTCTGTTCTTAAAGCATGTGACTTTTTGCGAACACAGCTTGGGGAACCAGCTGAGGACAAAAAGGAAGAAGAAGAAAGCAAATCTGATGGCAAGTTGGGTTTGGGGTCTTTGGACGAGGACTCCCTCTCTGAAAAGGGGGCGGCTGCCCCCAAAAGTCCATACAAACTGAGAATTAGAAAATATATCATAACCAACGATGTTCATTGTATTATTAGCTTTTTGAAAATAGCATGGGGATAAGCTGATGTATTGATCTCCTACTCTTGGGTTTTTAGTTAGTAGTGGGTCTTTTTCTTTCTCCCTAGATGTAGTCCCCCTCCCCATATTTTCAGTTATAGTTTGTAGTCTGCAAAAAATCAATAAAAATCTCCCCTCGGGGGGAAGGGGGAAAAAAAAGAAAATACCTGGAGACTTTGAGGGTGGATCTGGGAGAGGGCGGGGTTTGGGGAGGTGAGGGGCCTCAGCAGGGTACAATGCCATAGAGACCAACCTTCAAAGCAGCCATTTTCTCCAGGGGAGCTGATCTCTGTCTGCTGGAGATCAGTTGTAAAAGCTCCCACTTGGAGGCTGGCAACCCTATCCAATAGCATCTTAGACACCAACAAGATTTGGGGGTATAAGCTTTTAAGAGTAAAAGCTCCGTTCATCAGAGCAGGGAGAAGAGTGCCTCAGCCTGTGGCACTACAGGCACAGTCAGGATTGGGGCCCCACAGCATTTTAAAATCACTTTAAAATGGTAGCATCCTCGTGGAGGCCATAAAGATGCAATCCTGTCTAATTTGGTTCTCAGAAAGGGTTTATGACTACAGATCTCCAGAGACCATTTGATTTTTCCAAAACGCTCAAATTGAAAGTCATACCCACCATTTGTGAGATTGGGTATAAAATATCATAAGGGATTCTCATGTTTAAACTCAAGAGGGCTCTTGATACAAGAATATCCAGATTCCCCTTGTGATATGTTCTGCTCTTTTCCTTCTTTCTGTTCAGATATGCTGTATTGTTTTGCACCTGTATTTTAAGGAGGAAGTACCAACCACAGAAGTAAAGGGAAACTATCCTAACATGAGCTGCATGTGTATACAGTTCATTTCCTGCCCTATCTTCAATCTCTTATAGCACAACCAGGCTTCAGTCAACTACTAGAGGTTTTACGTTGGTTTAGAGAAAGACCGGGTCTACGATAGATTCTGTTCAAGTTTTATTTTCTTTAATAACGTTCTGTATAGCAACCTTAATTTTTGCCACATATTACCATGCAGAAATCATTTTACAATTGATAAAAATTATCTTCATTCCTATATGAACCTACTAAGGTCTTTATATTGCCAATAGAGGCCCTGCCCTGTGTCTGCCTGCCATCAGAGTCAAACTGGGTGTCATATGTGTCAGGGGCTTTTTGAGGGAGGCATCAAGACTACTGGAATTCTGTTCCTGAGGGGCTTTTTCTGCTCTATCGCTTCTAGTTTCAGGTGGCTGCCCGGTCAAAATACTTTGTTTCAGAAGATATGTGTGGATTAGGCTGACCTTTAAATCTAATTTCTAGTTTTGTTGCTGATTCCCCCCCCGCTTCATCCTGAGTTTTGCTGTCCTTGCTGGTCTGCTTTCATTTTTTATGGTTTGATTTTTGTTAGTTGAGTTTAAATGTTTTGTGTATTTTAAATTTAAATTTAAATGAGCCAATTCCTGGGGTAGGGTGGGATATAAATTAATTAAATAAAAACAAGTAAATAAAATTGTCATATTGATCTATTTCACTGCAAGCAATTTCAGGGGCTGAATCAGCTGAAAAGCTGGTTAAAATATTTCTAAATTAAACAAGAAATTAACCAAAGGAAAAAGAACTGTCACCCATTTTAAAAACATAGCTAAAGAGTTTAAATAATTAATTGATTCAATATTTCAAAATACTTGAAAGCCTTGGATACAGATTTACATACTACATGGAGATGGGTTGGAAACATGGAAATGCCTTAAACCATCTCAAATAGTTGGTTCGTCTTGCTCAGCATTGTCTACTCTGACCAGCAGCAGTTATCCAGAGTCTCAAGCAGAGAAATGTCTTTCCCATCATCTGCTATTTTTAACTGAGGGCGTCAGGGATGGAACCTGGGACCTTCTGCAGGCAAAGCAGATGCTCTACCACCTAACCACTGCACCCTCCATAAGTCCTTTAATAAGTCCAAGTCCAGGTTTTATATTTGGTTTCATTCCGACAAAATAAGTGGATGAGGATCTTAACTATGATTAAAGCTTCCACTGGTGGCCAGTGTTCCCTCTAAGCTGAGTTAGTGTGAGCCAGCTCACAGTTCTTCAGCCTCCAGCTCACAGATTTTTGTCTCTGTTCAGGAAGGAGGGCTCCAGAGCAAACTAATTTATGCAGCAGCCAAATCGTTCACTCACAACTTTCATGCTGGTAGCTCACAAAGGAGAATTTTTGCTCACAAGACTCCGTACCTTAGAGGGAGCATTGCTGGTGGCAGCTCAAAAGTAACTCTACCTCTGATCTGTTCAGCATCAACAGGAAGCTTCTGAATACCACAATGATGGTGATGACTGTGGGGCAAACAGGACTGCCACCCGGTTTGCTGACAAAGGTGTTGTATCTAAATTCCATCCTAACATGCAGCCATTAAAGTTTTTTTGAGCAATAGGATTTATGCCTTTTTCTCTGAAGAGGGGTTATGATAGAAGTTTATAAACAGGAGTAGAGAGAACTGGTATACACCATGAATTGATGGGCAGTGGATTTAGGATCAATTAAAAAAAAAACCTTTCTTTGCACAATTCATAATTAACTTATGGAACTCAGTGCCACAAAAGGTAGTGATAGCCACTGGTTTGGTGGCAGAAAGTGCCCTCAAATCATAGACAACTTATGGTGACCCTTTAGGGTTTTCAAGGCAAGAGACATTCTCTGCATAGTAACTCTGGGCTTCTTGGTGGTCTCCCATCCAAGTACTACTAACCACGGCCAACCCTGCTTAGCTTCTGAGATCTGATGAGGAAATTAGACAGATTCATGGGCGATCATCAATAACATGGCCAACCTCCAGGTGGCACTTGGAGATCTTCCACTATTACAATTGATTTCCAGATAACTAAGATTAGTTCCCCTGAAAAAAGGCCTGCTTTGGAGGGTGGGCTCTATGGCATCATACCCAGCGGAGGTCCCTTCCCTCCCCAAATCCCACCCCCCCCGTCTGCAAATCTCCAGGTTCTTCCCAACAGAGAGCTGGCAATCAATGGCTTATTGGCTGCCTGTTTGTGAGCCTTCTGAGGGTCTCTAGTTAGCCACACTGGGAAATAGGATACTCGACTAGATGGCAAATTAGTCTGAGTCATCAAAGCTTCTTCTTACTCCGATACTTTAGTATTATAATACTTCAAATAATAAATACTTCCCAGATTTCTGTCATAAATAACACTGTCTTAAACCAGCTTGTATAATCTCTGCTGGCTTTATTGAACCACAGGATCTCAACAGATATTCAGTGGAGCAAATTGAGAAACAGTGGTAATGCTGTTGTCTGTTGTTTTTCCCTTTAATTGTAGGCATGTGAGAGGTAATGAAGTGACTGATTTGTTTTCAGTTTGGTTTGGACATTGTTACTGACACAACCTGTGACAGTGAGAAGGCTGACCTTCCCCTGAAGGGAAAAACAGCCACTATGGGAGTGCTTATTCAGCAACCAATCACCTTTCAGAGGAGGGATGGAATGTTGGAGGGAAGCACAGCAGGAGGGAGTTCAGAGTCTGGATCTGCCTCAGGTAGAGGGCAGTCTGGAGTCTGTCTCAGCAAAACAGCAGACAGTTTGAAGGGTGGCTCTGCGTGGTAGTATGGCAGAGTAGTTTACCTCTGGGAAAGAATAGAGTGCCCAGTTGTTAGGTCTGTCAGTCTCTGATTCTTGGGAAAGAGCAGGCTGGTGTGGGTGGAATCCTGTGTGTATGAAAGGATCCAACCTAGTGGTTAGTCAGTGAAAGCCTGTTTGTAGCTGAAAATGTTAAAAAAAAAACAACCTCAAACCACATTCTGAAGCTGTAGCTAGCTTAAACTTATGTGCCTCAGCCAGGTTTCTCCTTTGATTATCTGGAGACCTAGGCTGCTGCACTGTTCTTTAAAACCAACCTGTAAATAAATAGAATCTTCTTTGTTATTTAGATATAATTCCTGCCTCAGTGCTCTCTGTGTTCTACTTGCTTGCCACAAAACTTACCTAGGCTGGATGAGAGTAAGCTGAAACGTAATCCTGACAAGACAGAGGTGCTCTGGGTTACTAGAAAGACAGACCAGGGACTTGAGATCTCCGCCATCAAAGGTGGGGTGACACTCCTCTTGAATACTGCTTGATAGTGCCCCATGCCTTAGTTACATCTAGACAGGACTATTGCAATGCACTCTACTCAAGGCTACTCTTGAAGAGTATTCAGAGGCTTCAGCTAGTGTAGAATGCTGCAGCTAGACTGCTGGTTGGGGCCAGTTACCAGGATAATGAGACCTCAAGTCCTACACTAATTACACTGGCTTCCGATCCACTCCCAAGCCCAATTCAAGGTGTTGGTTTTGCTCCTTAAAGCCCTACATATCTTGGGACCAGAACATCTGAAGGACCGTCTTCTCCCATATGTTTCTGCCCAGGAACTAACATCACAAGGACAAGCCCTCTTGACTGTTCCATCAACCAAAGAATCTTGTCTGGTGAGCACATAAAAGACAGGCTTTTCAGTGGCACCCCCATGGCTATGGAACACCCTCCCCAAGGAGGTGTGCCCAGCTCCTCAGACTCAGTCTTTAGGAGGCAGCTGAAGACAGTTTTATTCATGACAACATTTGATTAGTTCTTCTGCCTACTGACAGTTTTAATAGACTTATAACTACTGGTTTTTATGTATTCTGTCATATTATTATTTACATTGTAAGCCACCTTGAGTTCCTATAAGGTAGCAAGCAGGCTAATAAATGTTTTAAATAAATAAATAAAGGCCCTGGTCACACTGGGGGAAAAGGCACGGCTAAAGTGCGGCTTTTTTGAGCCGCATCAAAAGAGAACCACTGCAGCAGGATCAGATAGATCCCCCAGCCGCCACGCATGATCAGATGCCGGGAGGAAGCCACGTACCGGAGAGCGAGGCAAGCACGCTGCGCATGCGTGTGTATGCACAGTTTGGCAGGACGTCGCATGCTGCAGGAGAGACGGGTGCGCCGGCGATCAGACGACCGTCCCTGCAGCGGATTTTCCGGTAGGTACTAGTGTTTTCTAGGGGCTTTTTTTATCCACATCTTTGGCCGGAAGAGACAGATCGGGGATGGGTGTGCGCCGCTTCCCAGATATTGCGGTGTGATCTCGGCCACTTGATGCACCCCTGATCCGTCCCTCTTGCGGATCTAATCCCGTGTGACGGGGGCCAAAAAAGCTGGTGAGCTAGCTGGCAGATGTTTGAGCACCTGTACACAGGGAATGCCAGGGAAGAACTGCTTCTATTAACTCCTTCTGTTCACAGTAGTTACATTCCAGTCCAAAGTTTGGATTTCTTTTTCTCTGGCGATCCAATTTTGTTTGCAATGCATGGTTAAATCCATTAGTCTGTGGTAGTAAAACTAGCAAAGAATCTGGTGGCACCTTAAAAAACTAAACAAATGTATCAAAGAAGAAACATGAAATATTTGCTTCTAGTTGAGGAGAAGAGAGATTACTAAGAAATGCCAAAAAGCCAACGGTACAAAAGATTCCTATTCAGAACACCAATGAAAATGAGTTCCAATCAACTGTAAATGATCAACTCAGAGTGGGATCAATCCATTCCCAACTGGTAATGAATTTAGTGACCAAGCTTTGCCAGTTCCTCAGCTCTTACTGATTAGATCTCTTCTCTGTTGACTGGAGCCTATTTGTGCTCTGCTAGTCGGACTCGACTGGCTTTCGAGCAAGGGAAACCTTTACCTTTTTAATGTGACATACTTATTTCTGGAACCACTTGGCCTTTTGTCTTCACTTTGTGAAAACATTGCTTCCCTCCTTCTTTTATCTGTGCTCATTATATGTTGGTTTACTCAGTGAAGCAATCACTTCATGCATCTGATGAAGTAAAGAGATTGTTATTTCATGTATGGGATATTTAGAAGTTACCTATTTCTGATCACAGAAAAATTCAAACACAAAATCTGTTAAGTATATTCAACTGCAAAGCCACATTTTGTTGTATCCTTTATTAAGCCCTTTATATTACCTATATTGGAGATTAATTTAATGGACCAGATAAAGAGCCAGGGAGAACCAAACTGAGTAACATTACCTAGGCAGGATTTGTGTGCTGTTAAATGCTAAAATTGACCACTTTTCTTTTAAGGGTGATCACATTGATTAAGCTTAACAAATGGCAATAACATCTGTTGAAAATGGCACAGAAAAAATGGCTTATTACCTCTGGAAATTTCTTCTTCTGCAAATACTCTGTCATGGCAGGATCAAAGTACTTGGCGTAGCCCTCATTAAGGCTGTAAATTTTCCCTTTCTTCTTGATTTTCACATCTTTTTCCACCAAAATGAACTCACCAAGAGCCTATAGAATAGTTGGGAACATCAATTAATACATGCTATTAAGGACACCTTGATTTCCTGAGGGTTTTAAAAATATATATCATTGATGAAGCAGTTACACCCTTCTAAGCCCATTGACTAACTCTGTCTAGGACCGCATTATTAATGCATTGTGCTGCATTTCCCAGGCTCCTGAGCAGCAAGAATCTACAACTTTCAGGATTAACACTGCCATTGAATTAGTCAGTGGCCTTAGAAGGGTGTGACTCTGTTTAGGATGGCACTGTTCATTTGCTTTGCATGAGAGAACACTGGAGAGATTTATGTTGTCTTTGTAATACCTGCTTACAAGCAGAATATACTAGAAGTAAGCAGACACCTAGCCACCAGTCCTGCATCATATTGCAAGACAGCAACAATGATCATTGTGTTCTCTGTTGCATGTCTCACAAATTCAAACTTTTAACTACTATTTCTTTGGCACATGCCAAAATTTTAGGACAGATCTCCAGCTGTTACGGACCATTATACCTTTTTTGTTAAGTCCCTTATCACTCATCATTTGGGAGGCGATAAACTAGTTTACAGTAATCGATACAGCCAACATTTACAGTAGTATAAGCATTTCAGCTGATATGGAGAATTAACCATATGCCAGTAGCTATGTTATTCTAGTAAATTGTAAGAGGAAAGTTTCAACAAAGTGCAGTGAAGGGAGGCCATTTAAAAAACTCTTATTGCATACCAAATCCTCAAACATAGCTTTAGGAACAAGCCATCTACAGCAATAAAAGTCATGGGGGGTCCTGTTTCAATGGCGTTTCAGGCTATGCCAGCTACAAAAAGTCAACACTTGAACAACAACTGGCCATTAAAAGTTTAAACTGAAGGTGAATCATGCTACCCTCATAGTTCCAGGATCAGCACTTCATGTGAAGAAACAATGGAGACTTATGGTAGCTTGTTGGAACATTAGTTTTACAAGGTTCACTAGCCAAGCACAATAGAAGCCTGCCTGCCATCAGTTTGCCTGCCACATATACCATTGCATCAGCCATGCATTACATTTAAGATGCTTCACCTGCAGCCAGCTGATACTTCCAAACCCTGTCTAGACCTTAACAGACAGTCTAAGGGAGGAGAGTGGATTCATGTTGATGGGAGTGGAACTGTGGTGGTAAGCTCCACCCCCAATTTTCACTCATTCATTGGTATATATGTACAGAGTTTATGTACCAGTGTATGCATCTGTGTGTGTGTGAACAGAAGCTCTGAAAAAGCAAAAAAACAGTTTCTGATCACACACAAGTGTACACAGTGTGAATACACTTGGTTTCTTTATATTGGTTGTGGCACACCTCTTCCCCATGCTCCTCCCCATCTGAGTTCATTATCCCATTTTACAATGTCTGAAAATGACTTCTGTGTTCTGTCTCTGTCTGATTCCCTCTACTTCTCTGTCTGTTCTAACTGTAACACTGGCACCAAACTGTGCACAAGCAAAACTACATGCTTTTCTTGATACATTCTTGATACATGGCTGATTTAGTGTTAACTTTAAAAGCTCAAGGCTAGAATTGTAGAAAGTTGCTGGCCATACATACCCTTTATTGGACAAGTCAACCATCAGATCATCGGATCTAGGGTTCATAATTTGCACTCTATAAGGACACCTCACCGTGGCCTGGATAGTCCAGGCTAAACCAGTCTTGTTAGACCTTGGAAGCTAAGCAGGGTTGGCCCTGGTCAGTGTTTGGATGGGGGACCACCAAGGAATACCAGGGTCATAACACAGAGGCAGGTAATGGCAAACCACCTCTAAACATCTCTTGCCTTGAAAACCCTATGGTTGCCTTGAAAACCCTATGGTCACCATAAGTCACCTGTAACTTTATGGGGGGGGAACCTCAGAGAGAATCTGGTGCTGAAGGGCAAATTACATTTCTATGATACTAGCAGAATGGTGAGAAAGAACAATTTACAGTGCAATACAAAAACAGAGTTAGGATTGACTTCAATGGCTGTAGAAAGGTGTAACTCTATTTAGGATTGCACTGTAAAATACTGCCAAATTTTCATCAGTGAACGTTTGGCTATGCAAATAAAGCCTTGGAATGTTTCCCTCCTTCCTTCCCCCACCACAAACAACTGCTGCTTCCCTGCCAATTAGTTTTCAAAGTACTCTTTCTTGCCGGCTAAGTCATTCTAGCTAATCAGTGATGATGTGGTCCACATTATTCCATCATGGCAAGATGATATGATGAACACAATTCTGATGGAGGACAAGAAGTATCCCCCTCTCTTGGAATGGTTACCATAGAGCCATGCTACAAAAATGTATACTCTTGCTTGCTGGTCAAGAATTGTCAAAACAAGGGATAGTTTTCACAGGGAGTTAAAATGTTTGCAGAACTCTATCCAAAGAAGAAGAAGGGAATATTATCAATAGTCAGTAGTATTTGTGGAGTACCGGATCCAGCATGAAGCAGTCCACTCCTTGCCCCGTAGAAAGAGCCACCAGTGTAGCACTGCCGTACAAGGCATATCCTGCAGCGACAATGTTGCGTCCAGGTTGGAAGGCATCTTTTTCAGAGGGTTCCTCTTCTGATGTCTAACAGGAGAGTTATTTCAGTATTCATATATGTTGTCACAAAACACATTTGGGAAAAAATACTCAAATGCAAATAAGAATTTATTTCAATTTATGGAGCAACCCTGCCGTAACAGATCCTTTCATAAGATTCCTACATGATATATAATGGAGGATTTTTAAAGAGAATTTTCAATGAAAATGTGTCACTAAATTGGAAGCCAATTTATACAATCATTTTAGGATGAAAAAATTATCATGATAAAGTGGTCTTGTGAAAACATGCCTAAATTAGAACATCTCAAGTGGTTTTGTTTTATCATTTTTAGAAGATAAATTGCAAGTCTACCATCTGGAGACTCATTTATGATTCAACTTTTTCACATAAGGAATAGTCACACTGAGATGATTTCTGCACCTCAGAAAATCCAAGGGAATCCAACTGGTAGCCACTGCTGACACTAGGAACTGAAAATATTTTCAGAATGTTCATACTTAATTTAGATTTCAGACTTTGATATTGTCATAATGGATAACTTAATATGGAGAACAGAGCTGGAAGAAGAAGAGGAGGAGGAGGAGGAGGAGGAGATTGGATTTATACCCTGCCCTTCACTCGGGGTTGAGCGGCTTACAAACTCCTTTCCCTTCCCCTCCCCACAACAGACACCCTGTGAGGTAAGTGGGACTGAGAGACCTCTTTCAAGAACTGCTCTTTCAAGAACAGCTCCGACAGAACTATGGCTTGCCCAAGGTCATCCAGCAGGTGCAAGTGGAGGAGTGGGGAATCAAACCCAGTTCTCCCAGATTAGAGTCCACACACTTAACCACTACACCAAATGAGGACTAAATCCCAAAACAATGGATTTCAGTTAGCCACAACTGAACTTTTTAATTGATTTCACTGGGATTTACAGTGCCATTTTAAGCAAAGTTAAAACATTCTAACTATACTGAAGCCAACTGACTTAGATGGGCATAGCTCTGCTTAGGTTAGCACAGTTAGTATTGTGCCCTCTTAAGCACAGATCAGTGACAAATTTGTGTGTTTAATTCTGGATCAGTCTTGAGCAAGAAATGTGCATGTATGGTGATCCAGAGGGGGGTGGGGGAAGGACTATTATCACTTTACCCTCATCTGCCACTTACCAATATGCCCTCTAAGCGCCACAGTGTTGTGAGCAGAAATTCTGCCTTGTGAGCGAAAAAAGCTAGTAGTGTTAAAGTTGTGAAGGAGTCTAGATTTGACTATTGCGTAAATTATTTTTAAGATTATCTCCATAACCTTGTAAAAATCTCAGAATTAATTCTTTTAATCTATATTTAAACTGTATTTTAAGAATAATTTAAACATTATAAGAGAAAACAGAATCAAGTCAAATTTCATTATACAAAATGTCCTCCAAAAATCCTAACTATAAATACACTTCGATGGGGTCCAAACTGACAGAGTCAGACCAAGAGAGACATCTTGGAGTCGTAGCAGATAACTCAAATAAAATGTTGAGTCAGTGTGCAACTAGAATAAAAAAGGCCAACGCTATGCTGGGGATTATTAGGAACGGAATTGAAAACAAATCAGCCAGTATCATAATGCCCCTGTATAAATTGATGGTGTGACCCCAATAGTAATACTGTGTACAATTCTGGTCACCAAACCTCAGAAAGGGTATTATAGCAGTGGAAAAAGTGCAGAAAAGGGCAACTAGAATGATAAAAGGGTTGGAACACTTTCCCTATGAAGAAAGGTTAAAGCACTTGGGGCTCTTTAGCTTGGAGAAACGACGAGTGAGGGGTGACATGATTGAGGTTTACAAGATTATGCATGGGATAGAGCAGGTAGAGAAAGAAGTACTTTTCTCCCTTTCTCACAATACAAGAACTCATGGGCACGCAATTAAATTGCTGAGCAGTCGGGTTAGAACAGATAAAAGGAAGTAATTCTTCACCCGAAGAATGATTAACACATGGAATTCACTGCCACAGGAGGTGGCGGCGGCTACAAACATGGACGACTTCAAGAGAGAATTGGATAAACATATGGAGCAGATATCAATCAGTGGCTATTAGCCACAAGGTACAGATAGGAACTGTTAAGTATGAGACTTCAGGCAGCTCATTAACAAGTGGTTCAGCTTTATTTGGACAAGACAAGAATGAACACAAACAGGAGAGCAACAGGCTCTCTTTTAAACTATCCAGGCTTGAATAACCACACCCACTGATGAGTTAAGAATCAATCAGAATATTGAGGAGGGGCGATGGAGTAGCAAGGTGGTCTGAGAATCCAGAGCTCTGGATCTCACCAACCTTTGGAGTCTTTATAGGGGACTTTCTTGACATTTCTGGACTCCTCCAGATTTGACAAGGGTCCACCAGTTCCTTGGGAGTAGGAAACTGGAAGCAGAAGACTTGAACTGAGCTCCCTGTTTGCGACAACAGTAGGTGAAGTTTCAGTTCGTCTTGAAACAGAAGCTCCAGAAGGACCGGTCACAGCAGTTCGCAGTTGGAAAGCTACATTCAAGCCCCAAACAAGAGCCTCCATACCTCACCACAAATCATTTTGGCGAAGACTCCGTAAGCAACCTTATCTTCTACTTTAATCGTTAAGCTCGTAAACAGACACTTGATTGCCCCTATAAATCTGTCTGGCGGCCACACAAAGTTTTGGATTTTATTACATCAAACACGCAGGGGAAAAACAACATTTTGAAATGTTCTACCTGCTATTTGGAAAATATTGTTACAGAAACTTATTTCACTCTTAAAGAACTTTGATGTTGATGATGCTATTGAAAGTGAAACAGGCTAAAAGTTACGCCGAAATGGCACTGAGCAGCAGTTTCTTTGTCTGTGTCTCTCTATGCGCAATTATGCTGTGAATGTTGTGTCTGTTAAGGAGTGAGATGGCTCTCACAGCTCCATTTGAGATGAAGGATTCTAGGACAGATGAAAATATACAACTGTTCTCAGATGACAACGGGACTGTTTAAAAAGTCAATTGACGGAAAAAATCACAAATGCTGTTATGGAAGCTCTCGGAGAGTATTGGGATTGTTTTGAGGAAGAGATTACAGAGACACAAAATCAGATGACATCAGTTTCTACACAAGAGGAAAAACACTCAATAGCTACAATAAGAGACTTTTTTAGCCACTGCTTTGATGAGTGGATTGGACATAATATGGACGACGTAGGCTGTTTTCATACACAAACAGGCCAGAAGAGAATGAGACATTCAAAAATCAAAGACACAAAAGAACAACGATTTTGATGAGACATTTTCAAAGAAAGCAAGAGAAATTTAAATTTTATAAACAAATGGAAGTAGCACTCTTTGACAGTTAGCATGGCTTTATTAGCGGAAGAGATAAAGATAGCCAAAACTGGAACTTTTAAGCTGATGAGATCTGTTTATTTACTGTGTGCCTTGTACCTGATTTACACGACTATTTGATATCCGATTGATTTATGAATATAATCTGAAGCAAAGTATTTTAATTCCTACATTATCTTGAATGTTCAATGAAAGCTAAAGATATGGGCAGTCTGAAATTTTAGAGAGGATAAGTGGAAGTAGCACTCTTTGACAGTCTGCATGGTTTTAATTGGCTGAAGGGATAATGATCTACTAAGACTGGATAATGATCTACTAAGACTGGAACTTTTAAGCTGTTGAGAACTGTTTATCTATTATGTGTTTCTACACCTGATTTACATTGTTATTTGATACCCAATTGATTTATGAATATAACCTGAAGCAAAGTACCTCCAACTTTTGCATTGTCTTG